CACTCACATGGATCACACACACACACACAACACACACATACACAGATCACACACACGGATCACACACACTCACACGGATCACACACACACACACGGATCAGCGAGGCGATGCAGGGGCCGGCGCCACGCGGCCCGTCCCTCGGGTGCGCGCAATCTATTTTCAATTAAGCCACTCGGAGGCCCTTAACATGCCTGTGCCTGGACTTCTGCTCTGAAGTGGCCCACTCCCCTCCCTGGTGGGTTTAAGGCATCGACCGATCCCTCCCTCCGATCACACACACTCACATGGATCACACACACAGATCACACACGGATCACACACACAGATCACACACACACACGGATCAGCGAGGCGATGCAGGGGCCGATCACACACATGGATCACACACACGGATCACACACACAGATCACACACACAGATCACACACTCACACGGATCACACATACACACACGGATCACACACAGATCACACACAGATCACACACACGGATCACACACACAGATCACACACAGATCACACACACACGGATCACACACACACGGATCACACACACACGGATCACACACACTCTCACACGGATCACACATGGATCACACACACGGATCACACACTCACACGGATCACACACACTCACATGGATCACACACACAGATCACACACGGATCACACACACAGATCACTCACACACACTCACACGGATCACACACATGGATCACACACATGGATCACACACTCACACGGGTCACACATACACACACGGATCACACACGCGGATCACACACACGGATCACACACACATGGATCACACACACATGGATCACACATACACATGGATCACACACACGGATCACACACTCACACGGATCACACACACTCACATGGATCACACACACAGATCACACACACACATACACAGATCACACACACGGATCACACACACTCACACGGATCACACACACACACACGGATCAGCGAGGCGATGCAGGGGCCGGCGCCACGCGGCCCGTCCCTCGGGTGCGCGCAATCTATTTTCAATTAAGCCACTCGGAGGCCCTTAACATGCCTGTGCCTGGACTTCTGCTCTGAAGTGGCCCACTCCCCTCCCTGGTGGGTTTAAGGCATCGACCGATCCCTCCCTCCCCCCCCTCTAATTGCTCTGACAAGGAAGTACTCGTCCGTGATGTCCAGTACCGATCACCAGGGAGAGCGATTACCCGCTTCCCATCTTCCCCTCTGTCAGCCGCGGACCTTCGGGGGCCTCCCCGGGCGGGGGAGACTTCGCCGGGCAGCCGAGAAGGCGGCGGGGAGGCGCAGGGGGGACCAGATCCAATCGTATGGGCTGAGGAACTCCAACCCTAACACCGTCCTCAGAGACCGGGCACCGCTCCCTCAGCGTTCGTCGGCAACAACAGCCGGCTGGGAGGAGGAGGACTCCGGACACGCGGGGAGAACGGAGGCGGACCTGCCTTCCCGGCATCAGACCCACTGACCGGGACGTTACATCCAAGGTCAAGACACGTGAAAGAGCGGGATTCCGGCCTGAGAATCCACGGAACGCCCAGTGCAACAGGCTGGGCGCCCCCGTTCCCCACGCCCCCCGCGATGCACCTGCCTCGCCCGGCAGCCACCTGGGCGGGTCTGTGCTGTTTTCATCAGAAAAAGAGTGAACTCGCCGGCGTCCTTCTCATCAACCTGGCACGCCAGCTGCCTCGACTCACCGGCTCCATGTGTCCCAACCCGCGGAGGGGGACTCAGAAGCCCTGCGTGTGACTCCGTCCGACGTGCCCAGCGGCGTGCCGCACCGCTATTCGCCGAAGCGCCCTTGGTCCTGTGGGGGAGCTTTTTCCTACGGGACCAAATGGTTTCTCGGACCTTCTACGGCCCGTGGGCCAGAGGTTCCCCACCCCTGAACTAAGACAGGCAACAGGCTAGCAGGCATTTCAGCAAAACTAAAGGGTTGACACAGAAGCACCCCGTTTGCTGGCTGTTACTCTGCTGCTCCCGGTGAACGGAGGGTCCGTGCTGTGAGTGCCGCCCTGTGACCCGCCTGGTCGCTGCAGCCCAGGGCGGGGGCCTGCCTGACCCTCTCCATTTCGGGGGGGCCGGTCTGCGAGGCCATTAAGGGGATGGCGCTGATGAATAACAAACAGCCCGTTCTCACAGCCCCTCTGTCCCCCAGGACCTTAAAGTGCAGGGGCGGCCCCTCTGGGCTGAAAGCCTCAGGGTTAAAGGTCGCAAAGGCCAAATGCACTGCAGCCCGGAGTTTTTGTTTGTTTGTTTTGAAATATATTGTTATTGATTTCAGAGAGGAAGGGAGAGGGAGAGACATCAAGGATAAGAGAGGATCATGGATCGGCTTCCTCCTGCACGCCCCCCACTGGGGATCGAGCCTGCAACCCACGCATGTGCCCTGACTGGGAATCAAACTATGACCTCCTGGTTCAGAGGTTGATGCTCAACCACTGAGTCACACTGGCCGGGCGCTATATAGCAATTTTGAGTCAGGAATAAAGTGAATAAAACAAAACAAAACAAAAAAAACCTTAGGCCAAGAGATAGTCTGCAGCCGACAGGATGTGGTAAGAGTTCTCTGTAACGTTTATTAGGCACATGATTCAAGTACCTTTCCCCCCTCGCATTCACACACTGCATAGCAATTTATTTCGAGTATAAATACGTAAATACACAGCAATTCACAAAAGACCCCAAATGGCTTCTGACCCACTGACGATTGAGGCAGCAGAAGGTAAAGGTTAAGTCCTGAACGTGAAGTTAAAAACCACGCCACCGGTGCTCTAGCAAGTTCGCCAAACAGGTAGAAGCTTCTGGAAAAGTCCTCACGGGGACAGAGCCCGAGGGGCACTCGGCAGGGCACTGCCTATAAAAACACACACACAGGGCGTCAAGGAGGGCGCAGCCCAAACGCCAAGAGTTAAATGTAAGAAATGAAGCAGATTCGCTGCCAGGCACCACTGCAAAGCACCCGGAGACGCCACGCGAGGCCTCCACACGTGGTGACAGCGAGGCCAGCGCGCTCACCAGCTGCCCCGATGAGGGAATGGGACGCTCAGGGGCGAGAAAGTGCAGGGGCGGCCCCTCTGGGCTGAAAGCCTCAGGGTTAAAGGTCGCAAAGGCCAAATGCACTGCAGCCCGGAGTTTTTGTTTGTTTGTTTTGAAATATATTGTTATTGATTTCAGAGAGGAAGGGAGAGGGAGAGACATCAAGGATAAGAGAGGATCATGGATCGGCTTCCTCCTGCACGCCCCCCACTGGGGATCGAGCCTGCAACCCACGCATGTGCCCTGACTGGGAATCAAACTATGACCTCCTGGTTCAGAGGTTGATGCTCAACCACTGAGTCACACTGGCCGGGCGCTATATAGCAATTTTGAGTCAGGAATAAAGTGAATAAAACAAAACAAAACAAAAAAAACCTTAGGCCAAGAGATAGTCTGCAGCCGACAGGATGTGGTAAGAGTTCTCTGTAACGTTTATTAGGCACATGATTCAAGTACCTTTCCCCCCTCGCATTCACACACTGCATAGCAATTTATTTCGAGTATAAATACGTAAATACACAGCAATTCACAAAAGACCCCAAATGGCTTCTGACCACTGACGACTTGAGGCAGCAGAAGGTAAAGGTTAAGTCCTGAACGTGAAGTTAAAAACCACGCCACCGGTGCTCTAGCAAGTTCGCCAAACAGGTAGAAGCTTCTGGAAAAGTCCTCACGGGGACAGAGCCCGAGGGGCACTCGGCAGGGCACTGCCTATAAAAACACACACACAGGGCGTCAAGGAGGGCGCAGCCCAAATGCCAAGAGTTAATTATAAGAAATGAAGCAGATTCGCTGCCGGGCACCACTTCAAAGCACCTGGAGACGCCGCGCGAGGCCTCCACACGTGGTGACAGCGAGGCCAGCGCGCTCACCAGCTGCCCCGATGAGGGAATGGGACGCTCAGGGGCGAG